TCTCCAGGACCTTTCCAAGGTGATGGAGAGTGGCCTAGCGATAACATCCGCCAGCTCCCTCAGCACTCGTGGGTGCATCCCATCGGGGCCCATGGATTTGTGGATGTCAAGTTTGGACAAAAGATCTCTAACCTGATCCTCCTCCACCACGGGAGAGTCTTCCTTTCTCCAGCCTTCCTCTCTTGTCTCCAAGGTCTGGAATTCCTGAGGACAGGCCTTAGCAGTGAAGACTCAGACAAAGGCAGCATTCAATAACTCTGCCTTCTCTGTATCCTTTGTCACCAGGGCACCCGCCCCTTTCAGCAGCGGGCCCACGTTTTCCCTAGTCTTCCTTTTGCTATTGATGTGTTTGAAGAAGGCCTTCTTGTTGTCCTTGACATCCCTTGCCAGATTTAATTCCAACTGGGCCTTAGCCTTCCTTGTTGCATCCCTGCAGAGTCTGACAACGTCCCTGTATTCCTCCCAAGTGGCCTGTCCCCTTTTCCACATTCTGTACACTTCCTTCTTCTGCTGGAGTTTTGCCAGGAGTTCCTTGCTCATCCATGCACATCTCCTGCCCGCTTTGCTGGACTTCTTCCTCAGAGGGATGCACTGATCCTGAGCCTGGAGGAAGTGACGCTTGAATATTAACCAGCTTTCTTGGACCCCTCTTCCTTCTAGGGCCCTACCCCATGAGATTCCCCTAAGTAGGTTCCTGAAGAGGCCAAAGTCAGCTCTCCTGAAGTCCAGCGTTGCAATCCTACTCATTGCCCTGCTCCCTCCTCGTAGGATCCTGAACTCCACCATCTCATGGTCACTGCAGCCAAGGCTGCCTCCAACCTTCACCTCTCCAACTAGACCTTCTTTGTTCGTTAGTACAAGGTCTAGCATTGCACCTCTCCTCGTTGGCGTCTCCACCACCTGGGTCAAGAAATTATCATCAATGCTTTGCAGGAACCTCTTTGACTGTTTGTGCCTCGCTGTGCTGTCTTCCCAGCAGATGTCAGGGTGGTTGAAGTCTCCCATGACAACCAGGGCCTGTGATCATGAGGCTTCTTCCAGCTGTCTGTAGAAGGCCTCATCGATGACTTCCTCCTGATCAGGTGGCCTGTAGTAGACCCCCACAACAGTGTCACCCATGTTACCCTGCCCTTTAATCCTACCCAAATTCTTCCCCTATTTCAAGCTATGTTCATTGCAAAACAGGGGCATCTTGCTGCTGAGTGTTTCTGCTGCAGTAGGGCACAGTGGGAGGATCCCTGTGGAGACAACATGGTGCTTGCTGGGTGACTTGCAGTCAATGCCAACTTAACAGTGCCTTCCCACAGGCTGGGAGCCTGTTCATCTGAAGACAAACCTTTTAGGCAAGGCAAAACTCTCACGTGTTTTGTTTCTGCTAGAGTTTGGGCAGAAAGACCCCTGTTGCAGTGAAAGCAGAGCCCCACATTGGTGACCACTTTTGGGACAGTCTCTCTGATTGTTTATCATCTTCCTGAAATTCTCCTGGCAGTTAAAGGGAGATATAGATGAGAAATAGAGGAGCCTGCATTGTCCCTTCCTACGCTGAAATCCCAGACAGACTGACACTGGGAGGTCTTTTCTCCAACCTCCTGCTCAGAGCAGGGCTAACTTCAAAGCTAGGTTTATCAGGGCCATATCCAGTTGAATTCCTCCACTTCCTGACGGAAAAGCAAATGTGCATCAGTGCCCACACAACGTTACATGAGACTGCAACAAATCCTCTGTCTCTGACACTGTTTGTAAGGAAGCAGAGGAGCATTCAGGTTTTGTTTTCTCCTTGAAGCTCTATTTTTTACCTATCTTGGGTTTTCCTGTGCGGTACAAAACTGACTGTGGCACAAAGGAAGTGTGAAAAAAGAACAGCAAAATCTCGTTCTGTTCTCTGTCTTCTGCTCAGCTGCTATCATACTGTCTTTTCTGATCCCCAGACTACTGAGAAAAAACTAAGAGGCAAAAATAAATCCTTCCATGAAAGCTCAGGACATTAGTGCTGAGTCTTACTAGATGCATGAGTGCACTCTTTTATCAACAGAAACCTCATGTCAAAGGAAAAAAAAATTGCTCATATGAAAAAGAAAATTTACAGCAAGGGAAGCCCAGGCTTGGAGTTGGCTCACTAGTGTCATGTTTTAGGCCCAGCTCCTTAGGCTATTATTAGAGAAGCTGAAACGAGGACACAAAGACATATTGTTTCCTTACAAATCCCTCTGTTGCTCATATCTGTAGATTGTTGCAGGTATCTCAGCTCTGCCACTATTTTCATTTGCAGTGTTGTTTGAGGGTGGCCCTTAACGTGCTTGCATTTTCCCAGAAAAGGGGAATTTTTTTGTTTTCTAGTACTCACAGTGGCTTGGAGGGAACCAAGTCCAGGGCAGTCTTGGCCTTTTTGTAAGAAGTAAGCTAGCCCCAAAGCTGCATCTAGGTTTTATCTCAGTGCTGGGGAGTCAGTGCTGGTGCTGAGGCTCATTGCCCACGCTGGCTCTCCTCTCCCTGTGTCTATTTAGCAGATAGAGGTGCCCTAGAAAACAAAGATCCAGGAACCTAAAAGTAGAAAGCATGTTCTGCAGGATGTGGTTTAGAGGCCAAATGAGTTAGGTTGGGAACAGGCTTACAAACACACTCTTCTTTTACAGGACTGAAAGCTGAGCTTATCTAAAGCATGTCTCAGATCGCATGTGCAAAGACATTCCTCCCACCTGCCCCTGTTGCCCAACCGTCTGGCTCTCACTGGAACTGCCTCCGTGGGAGGTCCAAATCCCGCAGGCCAGAGCTGCAGCAGCTCCTTGAACACTCTCTCCTGTGGGGAGGCCAGCTCCTACCAAAGAAACCTAGCGCATTCATCTCATCTAATTTTGGATGCCTAATGATTGCCTAGGATTAAGCTAATTGTTCACGCTCTCTTTATTTTCCATGGAAAGGAACAGGCACTTCCCATTCACCCAAACAATCTTAGGAACCTCTCTGAGGAGGGGATGAATCACTCTCCAAAAATGCTTATCTCTCATTGTTGACTGCAGAACAAGCCCAGGCAGCTAATTCAGGCTGAGACAATGAACCTTTTGATTTCTAAAGCTAGGCCAGATAAATCCCACAGTGGCTGAGTCTTTACACACATCTCACAGCAGAGCTATGCAGGAAAGAGGAGTTTAGGTTACCCCTGCAGTTCTTTATTGTGCTGTTTCCAAACTTTCATGTTCTTGATTTTGCATCCTTCATAGTGTCTCTTTAACCTAAATTTTTCACAAAACATTGTGCAGGGGGGAGGGATAAAGAGAAAAATAATCATTTTTGTCATATGTGAAGTTACCAACCTGTCCCTGAGCCCTGCAGCAAGAGGTGTTGTTCAGGCTTTTCTGGCTGACTTCAGCAAGCAAAACACAGATGGTACCAAGGGAAAGGAGTTCTCTGTGGCACATCCAGAGGGTCACACATTGGTGTGGTCCATGCGGATGCTTCCTCAGGTGCTGAACTCTGCCTCTCTAGAGGATTCTTTCTGCTCTCATAGAGGCAAATCAAGCCCTAAAATAATTCTGGTGGGATCAGAGCTGGAAAAACATCACTGAGATGAAAGCCACCTCCATGAGGGTTATCATAGGTTATTCACTAGTGGAAGCTAATATCAAATATAAACACTGCATAAAATCAGAGCCATGTAACATATGTGCTGCCAGTGTCAAAGCAAGGGAAAGTAAAAATGACAGCACAAATGCAATTAACATTTCATGCTCTAATTTTAACAGAGATTTATCCTGCAATAAAATCCTGTCGATTGAGGAGCATGCTTTTGAGCCACTTCCTTTTTTGCAGCTTATGTAAGTTATAAAAATGTCTTTCTAATGTATTTACAGAAGTCTGTTCACATTTATAACCCCTTTTGTGCTAGAAAATGTTCCTGTTATTTTTAGAACAGTGACTAAATTTCTACTGCTAAAAGACTAACTAAGACAGAGCTAAAGAGATCAATGCAGATGGCTGGGTGACCCACAACAGAATGAGAAATAGTGTAGTTGTTCAAATGCAGCCATAATAGAAGCCATTTCTTGAAGGTTTACTATATCCTGGATCAGAAATAGATTAAGCACATGTGCACTTCATTTCGTCTCCTTGAGAGGTTAAACAAATGAGAAAGTGGCAGAGTTTCCTCCCTATTCTACCTTGGATTTGCATATTTCCTACAAATCAATATTGCTCAGCACCAGCTTCCTCTAGGACAGTCTGGATTCATTTCTGCAATCTTCTCTTTCCCCAGAAACCTTGGTGGGAATCTCATCACACAGATCCAGAACGGCACATTCCAGGCCTGGCATGGGATGCAGTTTTTACAGAAGCTGTAAGTGTGACAAGGTCTAAAGGTAGATCAGAGCGTGAATCCACAGTGACTGAGGGTAGAGCAGGCTTGCTTTGGTCGAGGGCTAGCGTTGGTTACAGGATTGCCTGCCGGCTGCCCGATCACAAAGCCAGCAAGCAGCACCCTCCACCAGGATGCTGTGCCACAGCCCAGCGGGTATCCAGAGCCATGAGATGAATAAGGGGCTGGCTACCAAATGCCACCGAATGCCTGCAGCCTTTGCCAGTCATGGGCCCCTCAGCACAGGGGCCTGGTGCATTTGGAGGCTTTGTTAAGGGTGGTGGAATTAATTGCATCAGTGCCCTGCAGGGCTTTCAGCTGTCTCCAGTTTGCAGACCCCTTAAACTTTTCAAAAGGAGGTGCAAACCCCTCTGTAAAGAACTGAATCCTACTTTAGATGTCATCTAGGGACTGCCAGAAGTCTGCAGGGAGGGGAGGCAGGGGTAGGATTTGGCAGGGAGGATGAGGGAGGGCAGGAGGAAGCAAGAGGCTGAGGTATCTCAGGTAGGTGGGCTGCTTTGAAATGCTCTGCAAAAAACATCTAGACAAAACTGTGTTTTCACCTAGACAAAGACTTTTGTGGAAGACATTTGTTTTCCTCAGAAATTTCACCTTTTCAGCAGCAGCT